ATTAATGAACTAGGGGTTTCACCATTTCTGCCACATATATGTCTTTTACATAAGCCAGTCATTTATCCACATCGACTACTTTTCTGGATGACCAGTCAACTAGTAAAAATGAGCAGTTCATTTCTAAGCCCTGCTTCATCTTGTACATTTTAGCTAACATCCATCCACTCTTTGTTCTCTTCAATCAAGAATTCTAGCTAATGAGGGTCCAAAAGCACCAAACACTAACTCAATCACCATAATCCAGGTTCTCTAACATGCATAGGCCACGTGTGTGACATTACAGACACGCTCACACATGCACACTGAATAAATGTAAAAGAGGCAGTTTAAAGAGCCATACTCTGTGTCTAGGGTTCTCTAGATCTCGGTTTAACTGCTGTCTAGAGGGTCATTGACGGTTCTGCATGAGTAACTGAAAATAACAATCATTCTCCACAAACACAATTATGTCCTTTAGCACCAGGGCTCGACTCGTCTCGTCTCATTGGACCATTAGTGTCTGTTACGGTAAGCTGTGATTGGTCAATGGGGCTTGAGTTTCATAGCTTAAATGAGAAAATGTCACAAACATTCTCAGTCAGTCACGCTTAAACTCTCAATATGTGTCTGTTTTCCAAACAGTCCAGCTTTACCAGTATAAGCAATTTTTAGTAGCAGTGTAGCAGGACGAATCTACGTACAAGTGAGATGAGACAGGAATTTTATATTTTTGGGTTTGACTGACACTTTTATCCAAACTGACTTGCATTGCTTTCAATGTTTTAAGTTCATGTATTTGTCGGGAATGAAAGCCATGACTTGATGTAACTAATTTACTAATGATTCTCTAGTTGCATTGGAAAGGCTGAATTTCGAAATTCAGTGAGTCATTTGGTTCAAATGATTGGTTTTGTGAATCAGTTTGTACAGTTGGTTCAGTTTTTAAAAATAGATGTTAATTATGTTAATTTTTTGAGTGTTCACAGAAGGGAAATACATATTTCTTTAAATACTACCGATTATCACTATAATTATAATTAGTTTTGACACTAACTCTAATTAATAGATATATGTTGATATATAAGTATTAAAAAATATCAGTAAATATTTTTAGCTGTAATAATAAAATAAAATATTTATTAGCTATATATATATATATATATATATATACACAATAATATGCATAATTAATTCAAATGAATTAAAACTATATAAAAACTACAAAAGCTAAAGGTGACAAAAGCACACAAAAAAATTACTTTAGCAAAAATTAAAAAGAAAATGGAAAAATAAAAGCACATTCTGCTTATATATAATAATTACATTAACCAAAAGTGTCAGTAAAGACATTTTTAATGTTATAAATTGCTATTTTAAATAAAAAGCTGGTGTTTTGAACTTTATATTCATCTGTTTCCACAATCTCAGTCAGTCACGCTTAAACTCTCAATATGTGTCTGTTTTCCAAACAGTCCAGCTTTACCAGTATAAGCAATTTTTAGTAGCAGTGTAGCAGGACGAATCTACGTACAAGTGAGATGAGACAGGAATTTTATATTTTTGGGTTTGACTGTCACTTTTATCCAAACTGACTTGCATTGCTTTCAATGTTTTAAGTTCATGTATTTGTCGGGAATGAAAGCCATGACTTGATGTAACTAATTTACTAATGATTCTCTAGTTGCATTGGAAAGGCTGAATTTCGAAATTCAGTGAGTCATTTGGTTCAAATGATTGGTTTTGTGAATCAGTTTGTACAGTTGGTTCAGTTTTTAAAAATAGATGTTAATTATGTTAATTTTTTGAGTGTTCACAGAAGGGAAATACATATTTCTTTAAATACTACCGATTATCACTATAATTATAATTAGTTTTGACACTAACTCTAATTAATAGATATATGTTGATATATAAGTATTAAAAAATATCAGTAAATATTTTTAGCTGTAATAATAAAATAAAATATTTATTAGCTATATATATATATATATATATATATATATATATATATAACAATCGAATTTTGTAGCTTCTTATGTCATTCTTTTTGTTTTCTTATTTGTTTTTTTTATTTATTAAAATTATTGGAGCAGCATAATACAATGATTTTTGAAGGATCATGTGACACTGAAGACTGGAGTTACGATGCTGAAAATTCAACTTTGATCACAGGATTAAATTATTTTAAAATGTATTACAATAGAAAACAGTTATTTTAAATAGTACAAATATTTTACAATATTGCTGTTTTTACTGTTTTTTCATCAAATAAATGCAGCCTTGAAAAGAAAGAAATATATATATACAAACCTGCAGCCATAACCCAAACCTCAACCCTCAAATCCTCTATACTGACCATAAACTAAACCAAAGGAAACAAGCTTCACTCAGCAGAATAAAACAGTCCACCTTTCACCAGAATGTCTCTGCGATCTCTGTCCTCACCACTAATGTAATTGTGGTATGAAGCCTCGAGTCACCGGCTCTGAGCTTCAGTAGTTGTATGTGTCTCTGAGGCCTGTATGTACACTAGAGATTGGCAGCCAGTCAAATCCAGAGCGGCTCCAGAATGGTGTTAACATCAGGAGTTCATCAGTGCTTGCCGCGTGCCGCTGCATGCATGAGACAGATGTCTTAATAATAAAAACAGCAGCCTTCATAAATGGAAGAAACAAAATCAATAATAAACATAAAATAGCTGGGAAAACAATATGCCTGGTTGCCATCATAAAAAAGTGCACTTCACTAAAATAATTGTTATTCCTTTTGCTCTGCCAACGCCTACGCTTCTGAACTTTCTGTGTGTCTTTGCACGTAATCGATGCTCTGCGTCCATTAAATAGATGTTCATCTGCCTGTTGGTGGGGAATCGTAGATCTTGTGGTAATAAACATCATGTAGGCCGGTGGCTCTGACCTCTACATCACACCCTTTGTCCTTCAGCCATGAGCAAACACACACACACACTAATCTGAAGGTGCAAAAAGCAAAGCTGTCTCTTTCAATCTATGCCACTTTGCACCTGTTTTCTCTAACACACTTTTTATGTCTCTGCATTATAATGACTTTATTGGCTTATATTGTTGGCCAGCCTAAGGCACACCTGTGCAATAATCATGCTGTCTAATCAGCATCTTGATATGCCACACCTGTGAGGTGGATGGATTATCTCGGCAAAGGAGAAGTGCTCACTAACACAGATTTAGACAGATTTGTGAACAATATTTGAGAGAAATAGGCCTTTTGTGTACATAGAAAAAGTCTTAGATGTTTGAGTTCAGCTCATGAAAAATGGGGGCAAAAACAAAAGTGTTGCGTTTATAATTTTGTTCAGTGTATATAGACAAGTATAAAACAACAAAAACTACAAAGAAAGCAATACAATTATTTTAATAAAAATGGAAAATATAAAATAAAACCTGATTAAAAATATTATATATATAATATGAAGCAGCATTACTGTTTTTAACATTAATAATAATAGTAATAATAATAATAATAATAATAATAATAAATATTTCTTGAGCAGCAAATCAGCTTATCAGAATGATTTCTGAAAGATCATGTGACACTGAAGACTGCAGTAATGATGCTGAAAATTCAGCTTTGCATCTCAGGAATAAAATACAGTTTAAATTACATTTTAAATCATAATAGTATTTTACAATAATACTGTATTTTTTCATCAAATAAATGCAGTCTAATCCAAAGCTGTCCGTTTATGCCACTTTACACCAAATTTCTCCAACACACACACTTTTATTTCTGTGCATTATTGCGGCTTGTATTGTTTTTAAATTAGGCTAATTATAATTAGTACATCCTAACCTTACGCCTACACCTTAAAGAAACCTTTTGGCATTGTTAGATTTTAATTAAGATATTATTTAATCCCTTTATGAAGCTGTTTCCATCGTGAGAGCTATACAAAGAAGGCTATTTCAGCCACTCTCATTTGGTCTCATCAAAGATAGCAAACCTGACCCTCACCCACTCACCTCGTGCGTTTGATGTCAGCTCTGCATGATAAGTGGATATCCGCCTAACAGCACACCAGCGGGACAGAAAAATCAGCCCCTCCTGCCCCCATGCAGTCAGGGGGGCACAATGGAAATCGATTTGTGCATTATATCATGGCTACATTAATTACACGGCAGTTCATTTCTAAAAGGCCCCGTAGCCGCCCGTGATCATCACTCTGACACTCAGCTGGACGCGCTCGAGCTTCAGCACGAGTAGACCAGCGCACTTATGCAGCGCTGACCCATTTATCACTGCTACCGCAACGTCCTGTTCTCAAATACAGTGCAGTACAACACAATTCAGTCTTATTAATGGAGAGTTTTGTCTGTTTGCAGGCCCAAAACTAAATTGCCTGCAAACAGACAAAACACAAACAGTGGGTAGAAGGCTTGAGTCGGGGTAACTAAAATTAAAACCATAAAAATAAAAAAATTATTAACATGAACAAAAACCTTAAACTTGGACACATAAAAAAAGACAAGAACACACAATAAAATAAAAAGTGAAATTTAAAGTGAAAATTGTTATCTGTTATCTGTTATCTGTATCTATGAGTTATCTGCTTTTGCAAATGAACTCTTCATATATATATATATATATGAAGTGAAAATGAAGTATGCAATTAAATATTTATAATTTAAATATATTTTAACTTATAATTGCATAATGTAATCTTTAAATAATAAATCATTATTAAAGAAATTACTGATACAATACATGCATTTAATGTAAGTATAACATGCACATTAATGATTTCCCGTGCGCAGTAAATTATGCCAAACCGTCCGTCCGTCCGTCCGCGTGTGTGTGTGTGTGTGTGTGTGTGTGTGTGTGTTCTCGTCCGGTAGGCTGCGCTATGCTCGCACCCGCAGGAGTCGCTCTTCCCCCCTTCCGTGCGCGCGCTTCCCCGGTCCCACGCCGAGCGAGTGTGTGTATGTGTGTGTGTTTGTGTGTAAGAACGCGCGTGTGTGAACGCCGGAGCACATTGCTGTTGCAGGAGCTTCGGCGAGACGGTCGCTCTACCGATGCGCGGTCGGATACGGAACTCCTCATGGATACGGCAAAGTAGCGCGCCGGCGCCTGTCACTCACCGAGCGGATTTATTACTCACGAGGATAGGTATGCGAAATGAAGTCATATGCAATGTGCTTATTGATCAACTAACTGCGTTTGGGAGTGAAAGTTGGCTGGGCAGCGGATGGGGGCAGACTGAATGAAGGGGGGCAAGTACTGAAGCAGGTTTATTCCGCAGTAAAGGCATGCGTTGTGTTGGCTGTGTTACTCTTTTGGGGTTTAGGTAGACCTTTTGCAGTGGATCTTACGGGTAAATTGTGGTTGTGCATTGATGTTGTGAGTGCATTCAGGAGAAGTAGCCTGATTTAAGTTGTCATGGGGGAATATCTGTACATAGAGGACTTGTGGACATGCAGAGGGCAGAGAAAGTTGTCGGAGGTGTGGTGGATGTTAAAGGGGTCATATGATGCTGCTAAAAAGAACATTATTTTGTGGGGGCTTTATGCAAATCTTCCCACATAGTGAGGTAGGTATGTGGGGGCGTGTTCGAACGAGCCGTTTTAGGTAGGTGTGGCTAACTCTTAACTTTTATAAAGAATATCTCTTTGGATTTGAGACTTTAGTCTTTGCAACTTTACAGATCTTCTTTATGCACCAAGAGCTTGTAACACTCTAAAGAGAAAGGAAAAAATGAAATCGCATCATATGACCCCTTTAATGCATGCCTGGTGCAATGACAAGGTGGAGAGCTCACAGGGTCCCGGGCATCCATGAAAGTGCTGTAAATTTACAGGCGGCCCCCGGTGCATGTGTGTGTATGAATTCTCAAAGGGCCCAGTGCATCTTTTAATTAAAACCCACGGAGCACATACACACAAACTGCACACTTCAGATCCTCCACTAGAGAGAGAGAGTGTGTGTGTGTGTGTGCTGCACGTATTAATGTGCTGAATTCACTTTTTTCTCTCTATCCTCATAAGATTGGCTTCACACCGCTCTGCGCTCGGATGATGTTGGCGTGCTCTGCACATCAATGGGAGACACTCACTCTCTGAAATGCGACACTGCCCTGCGTTAGGCGAATACAGCGCGATATAGGGTCAGCTAGACACAGATATGTGCATACTTGCATACATAATCATATGCATGCTTGCATATAGAGAAAAGTGCATGCCAATTCACTGTGATTGCTAAAAAAAGAAACTCTTTCATTAGAAATGTAAAGGAAATTGTGAACTACCTCTGGTTTGTTTTTCCACCAACTCTCACTTTTATAGATGACTCACTTATTCCCAGCATTAGATTAGTTTTGATATGCTTTTGCGCTGCTTGCAGCCTCGGGTTGAGTTTTGGGACAAAGCCAGGCTGGGTCAGGCGGTGTATATTTATGAGAAATCTTTGATTGGTAATTTGGTTTGTGAAGAGATATTGTGATCCACTTTTGAAATGAAAGGTCCGCTCAACCCAAAAATGAAAATTCACCCTCATGTTGTTCCAACACTGTATGACTTTCTTTCTTATGTAAAACACAAAAGGAGTTATTTTGAAAAAAATGTCTCGGCATCCATACAATGGAAGTCAATGGGGTCCAATATTGTTTAAATGCATTATTAGTGTTATTTTATTTATATGGCCAATACTGATATCTAGAGACCACATTGGTTAATATAATGTGGACATTTACATAATACCATTTAAAAATAATAATTGAGATCCACAACCATACTGAAATATAAATTGAAACATTTATTTAACTAAATTTACTATAATATTTGGCATTAAATCGAGGAATGTTTCATCCAAAAATGAATACTTTGTCATCATTTTATCATCTTCATATCATTCCAAACCTCTATGACTTTTTTCTTCTGTGAAAGGCAAAAGAAGATATTTAGCAGAAATCTGTGCTGCTCTTCTCTATACAATTAAAGTGAATGGTGACCATGGCGTGTCTGAGTTTTTCACTGTCTGTCACTGTCTGTTCCTCACATATATGTTGCTAACATATGATTTCTGTAGACTATATAGCGCACAAGCTGTATGGACTGCTTTTATAACGCCTTTATTGTGCGTTTTAGAGCTAGACCGAGTTTGGTCACCATTCACTTTCATTGCATGGAAAAGAGCAGCTTGAAATATCTCCTTTTGTTTTCCACTGGAGTTTGGAATGGCATTTTGAGAGTAAATTAATTATTATTGTTATTATTTTCAGCAATGCTAATCTCAAAATGGCTGATGTATCAATCTAGCACTAGATAATATGACTCAACCTTATGTTTGTTAATGCATTTGTTTCCCTTTCACAATTGAATCACCATTGGACAGCGCAGCAAAGCGATGCAGTTTGGAATGGCATTTTGAGAGTAAATTAATTATTATTGTTATTATTTTCAGCAATGCTAATCTCAAAATGGCTGATGTATCAATCTAGCACTAGATAATATGACTCAACCTTATGTTTGTTAATGCATTTGTTTCCCTTTCACAATTGAATCACCATTGGACAGCGCAGGAAAAAAGCGATGTGTTTATGCTCTGCTAATGCACAAACTATAAAACATCAAACCACAGCGGAAACACATATTAAGATTATGCTCAAAGTGCGTCTAAGAACCGAGTGAGTGAAAGAGGAGCTATTTAGTCTGTGTGGAGCGACACACACTTTTGTCCATGTTCCAAACAGCTGTCTGTTCGGATACATGATATGTTTTCTGGAAAACATTTTTTTTACTGGTCCACCTGTTCAGTGCCGTTTGTCCTTTAATGCATGCATCAGTTTGTGTGTGTGTGTGTGTGTGTGTATGCGGGTAGAATGACCTCCACGTCGCTGATCAATGCCGACGTTCTCCCTTAGAAATGGAGGGATGTGTCCCCGTGTGGGGCGACCCTTCCCCCATCTGTTCCCAGCGCAGCCCAGCTTGTGTGTGCGAGCCCATTCTCAGCATCTGTCTTTGCCAAATGCCAGGACTCAGTGGACGCTTCACATTAAAATCAGCGGCCCGCTCCACATGTATGAGGGGGTAGGGAGTCCTGATGTGCCGTTGTTGCGTCTCCCAGCGTCCGCGCCATTGTTTGTGTGCGCTGTGTGTGTGTGTGTGTGTGCGTGCTTTTGTTCTCCGCTTGCGCTGGAATGCTCTTCAGTGCTGTGTCAACTGTAGAGACCCCCTCAGATCCCGTCCTGCACCCCGCGGCCCCTCTCTCCAATGTTTTCCTAGTTTTTCAGTCTTAATTTGTTTTGTCTTGCCCTTCTAGTTTGTCATTTTTCATAGAGGACTGAAAGACGGAGTAATTAGAGTGGGCTCTTTCTGAAAGCTTCTTTCTGTGTGCGGTCAGCAGGACAGGGGCCGCACTTATAAACAAATGTCTAAGACAGTCAAACACAAGAGTCTCTGGTGCTGTGTCTCAAAACCTAGTGAGCTGCCTACTTAGGTAGCATTTTTTGGTATTATAAATGCATTTCATAGCTTGCTTAAGAGACCGTGGCAGATATTGTGGCACTCTGTTGTATCTTATTGTACTAAATGATTACTATTTTCATATGCTATTATTTAAATGGAACTTTAAAAACACTTTGGTATTAACACATAATACATGTCAACAAAAACATTGAAAAAAGGGAATTTTCCAAGTAAACAATTCATATACTATGGTATTTATGTGGTACTCCAAAGAATACCAGGGTATTACCATGATATCATGCTCACAGTATTAACATGGTACATGTGCAAAACTATTGAGTGTTTTCTAGTGATGTGCCAGTTTTTTTTTTTTTTTTACCGAAAAGTTTTTAAGTAGCCGAAACGTTTTTGCAATTTAAATTTGGTCAACGAACCGGTTAAACTCTTTATGCTGTTCAGGGTGTAATGTTCTTGGTTGATAAATTTAACCATTTGAAGTAAAGTTTTCAGGAATGAAGCGCATCAAAGTAATTTTTTACTGAAACATAAACTGAAAGTTTTCATTTAGCTGAAAACTAAAAATAAAGTTTCTGTAATTAAATTTGGGTCATTTAACTCTTTATGCTGTTCTGGTTGTTATGCTTTTGGCTGCTAAATTAAAACAGTTGTAATAAAATTCTTGGGGAGTGAGGCACTGAAATTATTTTTTTTAACAAAACACTAAGACCAAAAGTTTTCGTTCGGACAAAAAAAAAATTTCTGTAATTAAATTTAATTAAATGGGTCATTGAACCTTTCTGGCTGTTCAGAGTGTCCTATTCTTGGATGATAAATTATAAACCAGTCATAATAAAGTTGCTCAAGTATGAGGTGTTAAAAAAATTTTTTTTTTTTTGGAAATGAGACCGATTTTTATTTATTTATTTTTTTCTGAAACCCAGAAACTGAAAGTTTTCATTTAGCCAAAAAGCTAAACTGAAAATGATGCTTCTGTAATTACATTTGGGTAATTGGGTAAACAAACATATGCTGTTCACGGTTTTGTGTTCTCGGGTGATAAATGAAAGTCTTATTAAAATTCTGCATTGAGAATTGAGTTGGCACTGAGCTGCGTCTTGATATATTTTGACAATTTTTACTCTAACAATAGCATATTTTTGTTAACGGTAAAGTCCATCCAATCTGCTGACGTTTACTTGTAACTTATCCACATTGTATACTCGAATCGGTACCGATACAGTCGAAACACATCCCCAGAAACACGCTACTTTAATGTCACTGTTTCTGTCAATGATTTTGACCCTCTGAATTTATTCGACTGAAAATACGTAAATTGCTATTTCAACCTGTTTTCGGTTGCGTAATTTTGGTGCATTACCAGTGTCTTTGAAATTGAAGTTCCAAAACAATGGTATTACCATGGCACTATATCTCAAAATCATAGTATTTCCATTTTTTCTTTTTTTTTTTGTTAATATTGATGTTGTCTAGATTTTCACATATTTTCACTTAATTTAAAACCAGTCAAGTTAGATTAAAACACTCAAGCACCTTGTTTGGACAAAAGTCACACAGGTCTTTTCTTCTCTGTCTGTCTTTGTCTTTCATTTGCGTTTCTCAATGATCATAGCAGCTAATTAACAGTGTTGTAATTAGTCAGGTAATAAAGCTTCAAGTCAAGAACAACTGCTCAAGGGAGCGTCTTTT